ATTTCTTCCCAAATCTAAATCTGCCACATTTCCTAACTGAAATGTTTCCTGAGTTACTGAAGACAATTAATAAGTATTTTAGCCGAACAGATTCTTGATAAAACAACAACCCCCAAAAAACCCTTAAGAAAATAAGACAGCCATGTTTTACACTTCTCTTAGATGTTTCATATTACCAATTTAGGGTTAAAAATGTAGTAGGTATTTAGTACTCAGTTAATGCTCTGTTTGGTGGTGGTGGTTGCTTATAAAGAAGGAATGTTGTAAAATTTTTTGGCCAAAACCACTGCATAAATTTAACATAATTAGTAACAATAACTAATACATCAATTTTACAACTTACTTCTGAAAGAGACCATTTACTTCTTTGGTCTAGAAGATGAATGAGTAGAACCCATAATTCTTTAATGCATGGGCATGGGCAATGGTCACTCGTTAATGCTTCAAAAGCCCTAACCTGTAGAAAATAACCAAAATGAGTTAGAGCAGAATTTTACATGCCACACATTTTTCTAAATATTTTAAAAGAATGATTTAGATGTCTTAAAATTTATGCTTAACTACAAAAAATTCTTTATAAAAAATGTGCCATTTCATTAACTTTTAAAAATTCCCATTGTAAAACCAAAAGTACAGAATTTTATTTTCAACTTAAAAAACCCTCTGCTTTAATTATCTAGTCTAATGTTCAGCAAACATTCTGTATATCAGAAGCTAGGTAACAAATATTTGAGGTTTTATTCATGATATAGTCTTTGCATATTTACTCAATTCTGCCATTGTTGTGCATCAGCCACTGACAATTCATAAAAAAAGTTTGAGGCTGTGTTCCAGGAGAGTTTTGTTTACAAAAACAGGGGGTGTGTTAGATTTGACCTCAGCTTCATAGTTTCCTAACTTTGATCTAATCCATCAGGCACAATAAAAAGACATGTAGTAAAAACATTAGAAAATAACTTTTGATTCACTGTTGAGACTAAAAATAGTGACAAGTCGGAATAAATACAATTATTAGGGCTATATAAAAGTTAAGCAATTTTACCATTTTCTTTTTAAAGTTGTTGCTATTTTTTTTTTTACTGATTTTTAGAGAGGAAGGGAGAGGGACAGGAATATTGATTGGCTGCCTCCTGAGGAACATCATGACACAGAAACATTGATCAGCTGTGTTTTTCATGGTCTCCACAGGGATCAAGACTGCACCCCTGGAATGTGCCCTAACAGGGAATTGAACCAGCGACCTCTTGGTGCATGGGTCAATGCTCAACCCTGAGCCACATTAGCCGGGCTTTACCATTTTTATAACAAATATATCCTCAATGACCCTAAAAAATGCAGAGAATATTGTCTCTACTTCTAAGTATAGCTAAGCTTCTTAAACTCATAATATGTATCTTATTTCACATACATTACATATACACTGAGTGGCCAGATTATTATGGCCACCTGACGTTTGTAGGCAAATTAGCTATAATTTCACGCTAAAGTTGCTAGAGGGCCAGACCATTATAAATAGGGAAGCAGGTTGTCTATCACGACAGAAGTGATTTTTTTCTGAAGATATGGGTAAACAATGTGATTTAACAGCCTTTGAACGTGGGATATACAGTACATTTCTAACATAATACATTAAGATATTACTATATCATACCTGATTAACATATTCCTGTTAATTATAAACATATAGATTAAATTTAAGAGATACTGATAATACATAAAACAATCTACACTTTAAAAAATTATAAATCCTGATTTTCTATTAGTAAGGTTTATGCTTGTAATTGGAAATAAGTGATGATAATCTATAAATTTCCATTACTTGAAAATGAGAGTGTACTGTAACACCTTTAAATCTGTCTGTATTAAACACTATATATAAATACAATTTAGTAAAAACAAGTGATTTCCACCATGATGCCAGAACTTTCATGAAAACGACCCTTAAAATTTATCAACTAAAACCACCCTTTTTTTCTTTAATATATTTTTTTATTGATTTCAGAGAAGGGGAAAGGAGATAGAAACACCAATGATGAGAATCATTGATTGGCTGCCTCCTGCAAGCCGCTTACTGGGGATTGAGCCTACAACCCAAGTCTGTGCCCTTGACTGGAATCGAACCAGGGATCCTTCAGTCCACAGGCTGATGCTTTATCCACTAAGCCAAATCGGCTAGGGCAGTGGTCGGCAAACTCATTAGTCAACAAAGCCAAATATCAACAGTACAACAATTGAAATTTCTTTTGAGAGCCAAATTTTTTAAACTTAAACTATATTGGTAGGTACATTGTTATTAACTTAATTAGAGTACTCCTAAGGCTTAGGATGAGCCACACTCAAGGGGCCAAAGAGCCGCATGTGGCTCGCGAGCCACAATTTGCCGACCATGGGGCTAGGGCTAAAACCACCTTTTAAGCTTGTCAACTAACTTTAATTACTCATCTCTTTCATTATGTAACTAGAGGCCCAGCATGCGAAATTGCACAAGACCCAGACCACCCCACCCCCCCGCCCCCCGGGGCTGCGGGACTCCTGACTCCCTCTCACCGCCTCTGCAGGACACCAGAGTCCAGCCTGCCTGCACCCAGAAGTCCCGCCCACCATAGTCGCTGCGGGACCCAATAATGCACCTCCTGGTGAGGCGGCCATGGTTCGTTATGGCATTATGGCCACAGGCCTTTTATTTTGTAGATAGCAATACACTAGATCATTAAAGGACTGGCCTCTCCTATGTAAACAGAAGTTAAATTCCAGTCATTATCATAAACATCCTGTTTTCATTTATTTATTTTTGATAAGATGAAAAGGCTTAACTAATTCCAGCCTCTTTTAAAAAAGATGTTTAAAACCTATTCTTTCCCATTCAACTCCCAGATAATTTTTTAATTTAAATTCTTACAGCTTAAATCACATAGATTAAGGGCTAACTTGCCATTAAGTATCAAAAATATAAATAAACTCTTAAAGCATTACCTTGTCATACCTGTTGAGTGACAATCTTATTAAATCACAAAGGAGATTTTCACAGTGCTCTTCAAACAGACTGACATTGGTTAAATTGTCACCTGCCAGATTCATAAACTGATGACCATATACAACATGTTCTAAAAATGTAATAAAATAAATTTTATTTAAAACTACAGGAGAAAAGTTACTGTACCCCTTTAAATTATAACAAGACTGTAACATGTAGTTAAAGCAAATGTTTGCAAGCAGAAGTTAAATATTACAATTACTTTCTTATATGAACACTGATGAAACATCATGTAAAAAAGTTTCAATCCTTCCAGTTACCATTCAATAGGCTTCTCTATTGTTAATGTGGCCATCTTTGTAAAGCAACCATGCAAAATTACTTAAGAGAAAAAAATAAAAATAAATTAAAAAGAGGATAAACAGTAGAAATTCTTCATCCTGGTTTCTAATCAAGAGAGCCTGTACAGAGAGCTGATGAGAGAGAATCATTGATCAGCTGCCTCCTGCACCGCTCTAAGGATCGAACCCACAACCCAGGCATGTGCCCTGATAGGGAATAATCGAACTGTGACCTCTTGCTTCATAGATCAGCACTCACCTCCCGAGCCATGCTAGCCAGGCCTCACTGTATTTATTTTTAAAGTTCCCCCAAAAAACTAAATAAAACATACTCAACAGAAAATACCAATTAAATCAATACTTGTCATATATAAGATTGGTAAAATAGAATACATAAAATCTTGAAAGATGCTTTTTATTTTGTAAGATGTTTTTGCTGTTGTTTTAGAAGAGCATTTTAGTGCATTATTCTTTTAACAAACAATGATAAAGCAGCCATACGCGATTGCATGAAGTAAAGCTAACAAAAGATACCAAAATTTGTATCTATAGCAGAGTAAGTCCACCAGAGTTCGCTCTAAGAAAATATTTAAAATACAGTGTTCACCTGAGAGAAAAAATTATTTGTGTACATCGTTGCATATTTTTGTGTGTATATATATATAAGTATACAGACACACACATATATGTATTTTTGTATTAATTAAAAAGCAGAAATTGAGGTAATGGATGTCTTTATAACCTAAATAATTAATTTACTTTACAACTAAATATTTCCGGAATATTGCTAAACTTAAAAATAGAACCTAAACATGCCAAAGAGCAAGACTAAGACATAAACAGGCAACATATGAAATAAAAGATTACCATCTATTATAAACTTCTACTAATTTTAAAAAAAGGAAAAATTTGCAAAAGATTATGAATATTAAATAAAGAAAATATAGAGACAATAAAATTATGTGAAGATGTTCAACTTCAATGGTAATCAAGAAATTGCAACAACAGAGATTCAATATCATTTTTCACATATTCATTTACAAAAAAGAAAAATAACTGGTAATATCCATTACTGGAAATAGTATGAGGCAAGGAATGCTCACAGTGTATACAAATTGGGGAAATTTACTCTACAGCAACAGAGCATATATAATATTAAAACTGCAATATGCCACCCCAATTCTAAGAATCTATTCCAAAGCATAACTTGTATACATATTGAACAATGTATATATACACAAGGATGGTCAGTGTAATATTTATAATATCAAAAAAGGGAAATAATTGAAATACTTAAAAAATAAACTTGGCTAAATAAATTATGATAGACCCTTTACATAAGCCCTTAAATGAATAAAGTAAAACCATATGCATGAACATGAACAAATCTCTAAAAAAAAAAAACTACACAGAACAATGACAGCAGCATTTGTGGTTAGAAAGCAAAACAAAAATCCTACCAATGAGTTTCCATATATGTATGCTAATAAAGTATGGAAAGATAAACAGACCAAGGTGTTTCCAGTAGTAATTTCTGGAAAAAAGAATGCGATTTTCACTTTTTACTTACATTACTATTTGATTTTTAAAAATCAGAAAACACTTATTACTTGTGTAATTTAAAAACACAATTAAAATTTAGATTAGAAAAAGGACATAAATCAAACATGTATCAACTTACTCGATTTTACACCAAGCATCTGAAGAATTTCTAGCACCAGCCAATGGATATCCAAGTGGAGATGTAATAAATGCCAGGATGGTGGGAAAAGCTGTGAATGACATTATCAATTGTGACTGAGAATTCATAATACATTATAAGCATATGACAACAACCCTCTATCAGCACCATAACAAAGAATCAATTAATCTACCAATAAGCTTAAGGAAAACATTTATCTCGTTCATCAGAAGATTCTTTCACTAGAGATTTTGAAAGTAGGATAGGATATATTTTCATCTAATTTAAGACAGACCCACCTTGGGGCTGCTGAATAGATTTGTAAAGGACCCTTACAACCAACTTCTGATTCTACTACAGCTGCAAGGCAGTAAAATAATTTTAAAACTTATTTACATGAATTTGTTTTAGACTTTAATTAGCAAGTATGTTTTTAGCCTGGCTGGTGTGGCCCAGTGGTTGAGCGTAGACCTATGAACCAGGAGGTCATGGTTGGATTCCTGGTCAGGGTACATGCCCAGGTTGTGGGCTCAATCCCTAGTAGGAGGCATGCAGGAGGCAGCTGATCAATGATTCTCTCTCATCACTCATGTTTCTATTTCTCTCACCCTCTCCCTTCCTCTCTAAAATCAATAAAATTTAAAAGCAGGGGAATGTAGTCTTCAACACGTAAAAAATAAATTATGCACTAAAATGCTCTTCTAAAACAACAGCAAAAACATCTTACAAAATAAAAAGCATCTTTCAAGATTTTATGTATTCTATTTTACCAATCTTATATATGACAAGTATTGATTTAATTGGTATTTTCTGTTGAGTATGTTTTATTTAGTTTTTTGGGGGAACTTTAAAAATAAATACAGTGAGGCCTGGCTAGCATGGCTCGGTAGTTGAGTGTTGATCTATGAAGCAAGAGGTCACAGTTCAATTATTCCCTATCAGGGCACATGCCTGGGTTGTGGGTTCGATCCTTAGAGCAGTGCAGGAGGCAGCTGATCAATGATTCTCTCTCATCATTGATGTTTCTATCTCTCCTTTTCTCTCCGACATCAATAAAAATATATTTTAAATATATATAAATAAAAACTATGATACATGTTCTAGTAAAACTAGAATGATGTAGAAGGAACTCGCCATATCAAATATGCAAATAAAATAAAACACTACGTTAATAAATAATACTGGCTCAAAAAAAGATAATAAAAAATAGCAAACGGCCCTAACCGGTTTGGCTCAGTGGATAGAGCGCCGGCCTGTGGAGTGAAAGGTCCTAGGTTCGATTCCGGTCAAGGGCATGTACCTTGGTTGCGGGCACACCCCCGGTAGGAGGTGTACAGGAGGCAGCTGATCGATGTTTCTCTCTCATCAATGTTTCTCTCTATCCCTCTCCCTTCCTTTTTGTGAAAAAATCAATCAAATATATTTTTTTAAAAATAGCAAACATAGGGAAGAGAAATGGATAAACGTGGTATCCAAATCATTGGGAAAAGCATGGGTCATTTAATAAGACAGAATTAATTTACTCATTTGTAAGAAACAAAAGTTAGATTTCCCACCTAACAGAATTATTTTTTAAAAAGATAAATCAAATAGATAAATGTAAAAACAAGTATATTTTTAACATAATACGTAATACCGAATAATATTTCTAAAAAGTTCCCCCC